ATTTTGATTCTTTTAAATTATTTGTTCTAAAGTATTAATTTATATATATTTAATTGAACCTAAACCACTAAACCCAACCGATTCATAAGTTGTACTCCAACTCCACCCCTAAATACCACTTCTTCTTCTTTGTGAGTTGTGACAATTAGCTCGAAGCTAAGTATCAAACTTGCTCACATTGCTGCCTTATATGTGAAAGCGTATCGTCTAAGATTTATATTTGATGAGTTCAATATTCGTAACACCAAATATATATATTGATATAGTAGATCTAAAAGGCAGAAGACAATAAGAAGAGTTTTTTTTCTTGTCAAAACAATGCTAAAAGCTTTGAAAAGTAAAGGCACTATTTAGGACCAATATATTCAGTGGGTCACATGAGTTGATGTTTATGGAATTTTATTTCTTTTATCAAAGTACAACAATAATGTTTTAATGTGGTACTTTGGCCCAGTTTCACATCCCAACAACTACTTTTTCTTTGTTAATTTGAACTCTCCAGCCCTCATAATAATGATGATTTTGAACTCAAACTATCATCATTAGAATGATTTGCTACTCATGAGGAACTGATTAGTGAAACAAGAAACAATTATCATTAACAATCATCACATAATATCCATTTAGAATTATTGTTTTTTTTTCAAAAATAAGATAGAATAATAAGAACAATGATTATGCCCTAATTTTGAGTAAGTTGTGGTCGGTTTTATGATTTTTTCAGTACATACATCGTTTCATTTAATAGTATTTTTGGTTGTCCAATTAACAGGACATTTTATTCCATTAATATCTTTCGTGGAAAGAAGGGAAAAATAGCTTAACAATTTCTTATATACATTCTTACTAGTTCAACGTGAAAATAGAAAAAGAGAGTTGTGCCTAAGACAACATGATCGCATAAATACTTAGTTCTAAATAAATTGTACGAGAAAAAAATATGTCCGATTAATTTATTTATTTTTTTGTTTTGAAGTACTCTTTGAAAGGTTTGCAAAGTAAATATTTTACAAAAATTATTTAAACAAATGGTTAAAGCGTGCTATTTAAAGAAAAAATAAATTAATTGACCTCTATTTATTTATTTTGATTAATTAATTTAAAATATAGCATAAGACATGCCAATCTTGTCATCAACAATCATTTAACCGTAATTATATTGTGAAAAGCTCCAAATAATAATAATTCAGAATGGTCCACTTATTTTCACAAGTTAGTGATTTAAATCACCTCTTCCTTTTCCAAGAAGTTAACACTACTATATCATTTGACACTCAAATAAAACTGAAAAGACATAATAATAATAATAATAATAATAATAATAATAATACAATAGAACTCCATTGCTAAGAAAGTAATTAGCAAATTCACACTACACTAAACTTATCACTAAAGGTAGATTCTTTTACTAAGTGTAATAAGTCGGCCTTAACTTTATTTTACCTGTCATGCTTTTCTTTTACACGACTTTATAATTTTTTTTTAACTAAAAATATAATTTGACTAACTAAATTGACATTTTCTATTTTTAATCTCAATTTAATATTATTCTCTTTTTACTTGAATAAAGGTAAAAAAAACTAATAGTACCTGGTGCATAAAACATTCCACGTTAACAAGATAATTCAAAAAAGGATCGTATCTCAAGAAATGTGACCTAAATAACTATTATAAACCAGTTATTACTAGTAAACACGATAATTAAAATGAATGGTGGCATGCATGAGTATATTATTGTATATATATCATATTCTTTGGGACAAAAGAAAAACGAAAAGCAAATCCATTTCTGAAAATTAAATTGCCTCATTAATCATTTCCCAAAATCTTTTTCTTTCTTTTTGACTGAGGGCCACATTTTTTTTATCAGATATATCATATCATATCATAGAGAAGTTAGATCCAATGCATTGAAACTAATAACAAGTATAAAAGCTTTAGTTTAGAATTCCAAAGATTATTAAATGGAAAAAGAAAAAGGAAAAAAAAAAGATATACTTAAATGGGCTCGATGAAGATTTTTTTTTTCTTTTTTCTCGTGATTGGAAAAACGTGCAAGCATATACTTGATTTATGTTCAGTCTTTTTCTTCTAACTTTTTCAACTGAATAGATGATAAAAAGTGAATAAAAAGAAAAATAGTAGAGAAACCTAATAATTAATTAATATAAGTGTCACTCTCCATTACTTTTTTCCATCTCCATAAATATATCTCATATTTTTTACACTAATCCGTATCCAAAGTTTGGAAAATGTACATAATATATTATTAGTATGTATAACTTGAATAATATTTATACATATACGGAATCCAAATTTTTACTAGCCAAAATATAAAGAAGTAAATTCATAAAAAAATCCAACAAGTATATATATGTAATACTTTTACCTATCTACACAACTTTATTTTTCGAGGAAGGGACACCCCTCAAGTACATGTGGCTCCACTTAATATTGATCTATTGTACAGCTGAAATAATATGTATACATATTAATGTATATTAATATTTATAACATCCATTATGGTAGTGTATATTTTCACATTTATTTCATTTGTTTTTATTAGTAACTTTATAATTCTACATTCCTTCGTATTCACCTAACAAATTTGTGTAGATTTATTTGCATTGATATCCATTGGTTCATGCGTATTCATTCACTTCAGAAAGTATTATACATCAGTTTGCAATAGTATATATTGATCTGTATACGCATATTCTCTTGTGGAATTTTTTTCAAAATGTTGATATTATACATCTTTTTCTACTGGGCTTCAGATGTTGATGTTCTATTTACTGGGCTGCAGTGGATATCCAGCCCAACTTGTACAAGCTTAAATACCAACACAAATTTGGGCTATTTAGAAGCTTCAACTTATCTCGGCCCATTTGAAAGCCCATAGTTTATACGGTTCTCATTAAAAATCAAGAAACTATGCTCGATCTCGAAAATGAATGATCTTGAAGTTTTGACTCTTATTTGTTCTATGAGCAAAACTTACTATGAATTTGGGAGTAAAAGTTGTTTGATAAAAAATAAAAAATAAAGTTTTGCTTGAACAACGTATTATCATTTATCCAAAATCAAAAGGACGGAGAGGAGGAAAGAAAAAATTTCTCCATATTTCTTCTAATATTGGATCTATATTTATATAACTTTAAAAATCACTCTTATAAAGGGACCTAGTGTGATTTATTTTTTACAAATTGAATGTAAAATAGATTTAAAAAAATTAAAGTCAAGCGTATAAGTTAGAAAAGAATTTCAACTCAATTGATTATTTTTGTATCAACTCTTGATTAATTTGTAAGGCCAAAAGTTCGGTTCTTTGATATTTCTCATATAAAAAAAATGGAAGAATTTATTTAATACCGTGTTGAGTAGGTCAAAGTGACATTTCAAAAACCATATTGTGTTATATAATGTTGTAAGACTTTTTTTCCAAAAGAAAAATATACTCCTATAATAATTACCTTTCTTCAAACAAGAATACTCTTTCATTATTATGCCTAAAATGTCAAATAGAGGAATGTGACGGAGTAATAAGTACTTTTTATTTTTAATTGGAGTTCGAGGTATGAATATAGAATCCTCTTTATTAAGAAAGGTTTTTATCATAAAGTAAAATTTTCTGATGCAAATTCAAATTTAATTGAGCTTCAATACAAATATGAATGATAGTGATTTAAATAAAATTTAGAAACTTTAGATTGCTCAATGAAAAATAATCACATGAACAAAATGCACGTTGATCAATATAAATTATTTTCTTGGTGCATAAAAAAATAGACGTTGCAATATATCATTTTTTGGTTAAAATTTACAATTTGAAATAATCCATGATGTCCAGAAAAAAATCACGTGAACATAATATTTTATGATTTGAATAAAGAAAATAATCCTACAAAGATCTATGACATGTAAAAATAAAGTTTTTTTTTATTTTATAAAACTGAAAATAAATTCATAAAAGGCTATAGAGTACTTGACCTAATCTAGCCTATTTCAGAACTATAAAGAAGAATAGACAATTATTATGAATCCGAAAAACCAAAGGATGTGATATGATGGTAAATGAGGTTGCTCCTTTCTTAATCAGAAATTTCGAGTTTGAACTCTGTGTATGAAGTAATTCTTGATAGGGAGCGCTTCCCCTGAATAGAACCTTACGTAATGTAAATTTCAGTATGGACACCAAATAAGAAAAATATGCACCCAAAATAAATGCTATATCAAATTCTTTGTCCCATCTTATTATGTGTGAAAATTAAATGAAAGGCACGTACTTCTAGTCCCATTTAATTTGAACTTATCATATTTGGAAGTTAAATAAGTTCATCAACTACCATTTTCTTTTAAAAGATATTTTAATTATAGAAAACAATATTTATAAGTAATATTTTTACAAAACTCTTATGGTAATTTATTTTGCAACTTAACTATCAGAAGTCCGAATATTTATTTTCTCTAGATATTGTTTGATCAAAACTATTGTAAAGGTAAATATATTTCTTTTAAAAAAACTATTTTAGAGAAACGAGCTTTTTGACCAATTTTTTAATTTTTTTTAGTTTAAAAAAGTGTTTTGAGTAATAATAGAAATTATTTTTCAAAAACATATAACCAAATACAGTTTGATGGTCTGATATTGAAAAAAACACGTTTGATTTGTCAAATTGAAAAATCAAACACAAAATGTTATTCTTTCACTCACGTCCTTATTGAACTCAAATGACATCAATAAAGATTGTGGTAGAGTGATAAATACTCATTTATTTTTAACCAAATATATTATGATCGAGTTTCCATACCTTTATTAGGGAGCACTTGATATAGGTCTTCTTGACGCAAGTTCAGTCGAGCTCCAATGTGGTACGAGACATCGGATGATTTAAAAAAAAAAAAACTCAAATGACACGTCACTGCCACCTGTAGAGATCTATTTTGCTACTCCAAAGAATTGTACATCCTGCAAAAAAAAAAAACTCAATTATACCAAACATTAACGTTGTACTCAATTTTCTCTGTTCCATTTGTCTCCAATTTCTGTTCTCTTTCTCCGGTAAGTTCATCTAGTCTTTACAGAAAAAAAAACCCTTTGATTTCACCCTGTAATTTCATTCTTCATTTGGTTACTTACACGTTTTGAACTCTTACGTAAATACTGTATATTATAAGTATAAAAAAAAAATACTGCTAAGTATTCAATACGATGGCGATGTCAAATGATTATGGCAGTGGCACATTCGAATCATATTAAAAAGAATATGCTTTTTTTCAACGCTCAGTCTTTGACAGTTATTGTTTCTGAATTATGATTTCTTTGTATATTGTATTTTGTATTTTGTATTTGTGGGTTTCTTGATTTGTGACCCTAATAAGCTCAGCACTGATTATTTGAGCTGAGTTTAGTTTCTGATACCATTTTATTGATGGGGTTTTGGTTTGATTTGTTGGGTATTCAGCAAATTTGTGTATTGTTGTAGTATATACATGTTTCCCTCTTTTTGAATTGTGATCAAATAGAGAGTAAAGATTGGGAAAACTGTTAAAAATTGGATTTTTATGGTGAAGATTTGGAGATTTAGTCAATTTGATGAATGGAATGTAGTAATGAGGGGGCAAAGATTCAATCTTTGATAAATTGGGGTTTTGATTTTGTGATGGGGAAATAAGATTCTGTAAAGTCGAAGCTTGTTTGGTAGATATTGATAATATTTAGAAAAAATGAATACTGTGGGGAGGATAGGTAGCTACATTGGGAGAGGGGTAAGTAGTGTTTCGGGGACTTTCCATCCATTTGGTGGTGCTGTAGATATCATAGTGGTGGAGCAGCCGGATGGGAGTTTGAAATCCTCTCCTTGGTATGTTCGATTCGGGAAGTTTCAGGGAGTTTTGAAGGCAAGAGAAAATGTGGTTAATATAGCTGTCAATGGCGTTGAAGCTGGTTTTCATATGTATTTAGATGGTAGGGGACGGGCTTTCTTTATAAAGGAGGTAGATATAGAAGATGGGGATTCTTTGTCTTCTTCTTCATCCTCAGGTGAGGATACTGATGGGCAAACCAGTAGTAAGCGGCCAACAATATCAAAGAGTTGCAATTATGATGTTGCTGAATCTAATTCAACTGCTCAGATTAACGTGAGCGGTGAGAATGTCTCGGTGAGGGCTAATTCCCGAAGACCTGGGATTTTAGGCCGGGTTTTTGGGACAAAGTCGATGAAAAAAGTCAGGCTTCCTGGGGAAGAAAATGATGCCAGTATTATGAGGACAGACTCGTTGGAGTGTGCTGAAATGGCAGCTGATCTGTTAGAAATGAAGTGGTCTACTAATCTTACCCCGAAGAGGTACAACAGAGATTACGTCATACCAGTTGCTGCCCAAGATATGTCAAAGGGTGTTAAAGAAGAGGACTTGCAAGCAAATGACAAGAAAAGTGATACGAGTTCTCTTGCACATGATAACATGTTAGACAATCTTGACTTCCGTGAGCCTGCTTGTGAGAAGGATGATGGTTCTCATCCAAGCTTTCAAACTCAAGAGGAGTCTGTCAAGGTAACTGGTAAACATGTGTTTTTTCCAGAATCTGAGAATGCCGCAAGAGTGTCCATTGTCCAAGATGTTGAAGATTATAGTCATGAAGAAAGCTTAAGAATTTCTGGTGACAGTGGTGAACTAGGCGTAGTTAACGCTGATCATGATGCCACGGGTGGTACATTTATATCTGAGGTTGCGAGCCCCTTTTCAAAATTTGTGGATTCCCCTGATATAAAGAAACACAATTCTTTTACAGTTAGCCGTCTTCCCGAGGAGGAACATGAAAATGCTGCAGTCCAGTCCTTTTTCTATTGTGAAACTGAAGAGAACTCGACAACAGTGCTGGATGTTTCAACTGAAGAGTTCACTCAAAACTTGTGTGCTTCTCGCGATCTTGAAGCTCGTATGCACACCCAAACAGTCCTCAGTATGAATGATTTAATGTCAAAGGGAAACTCTCAACCAGAAGAGGATTTATTAGTTGAAAAGGATCCTTCAAATGGTTTCAAGGTTATAACCAACAACACTTATCCAAACTCAATCTCTCATTTTTTGGTCTCCGATAGCGGTTCGTTGAATAGCTCTGCTGCAAAAGATTTTGGGTGCATTTTACCCATCTCTTGTTCAAGCACCTCAACCGATAAAGCAACAAGCATAAAAGATAAAGCAACAGGCAAACTTGGAGCCTCTTCCGAGGCTCTTGGTGATCCTAATGGATCTAGTGGCAGTTTGGTCCCATTTCCTGTTTCTTCATTAGAAAGCTTGGAGGAAGAGCACCTCGTCTTTGGTGATATTGATGATGATTACGACACTGTAGGCAGATACACGGAGTCCACTTCTTCAGATTATAAGGAAAATGAAGATTACCCCCCTGCATCTTCAGGCTCTCCTGATATCAACGACTACCGAGTACCGAAATATGAATCTGGTCCAACTCTGGACAAGTCCATCCAAAGTGATCTTCCAATTGTTGCAGATGGAAGAAAACTCAGAACTGTATTAAGCAATGTTGACATTCCTGCAATAGTTCAGGGCAATGAAGTTATGCGGATGGGCAGATCTTTACCCAATATGTGGTCTCATGATACTGCTTTTCCTTCAAATCCTGAGGATTTACATTCATCAATTGTACTACAGACAACAGAAGTTGCTGAGTTCACAAGGGAGGTGAAAAATATTTCAGCCACCCCAGAAATTGGTAAGAGAGTATACAATTGTGCGCCCTCTTAAAATCATTTTGAAGCTTATTGTGATACTTTTTCTACTCTTTATCTTTGTATAGTTTGATGTTCAGATAATTTTTCTATTTTGTCCGGTGCTACTGTGATTTTACCTTGAAGGACCTGAAGTTTAATTTTGTTTTAGATCGCCTGAGAGGTTATATGCTGGAAAAAGAAGCTTATTGATGTTGACTAAAAAAATTAGGCAAGATAATCATTGACGAGTTAAAATGAATCTTTGCAGAAAGAGATCCTAGATCCATTAATTCATTGGGTAGTCGTAGCAGCTGGAGATCATGGTCTTTTGCTTTCAAGAGATCAAGAAGCATGAAAAATTCTGGCTTGTCCATGGATGAAGATGTAAATACTGCTAAGGATATTTCAAAAAACACAGGTGGTGATAGAGAAGATGTTCCAAGGCCAAAGATTTCTAAGAAGAAACTAATGGTAACCACTCCAGCACCTGAACAGCTGGCTACTTTGAATCTGAAGGAGGGAAAAAACATAGTTGTTTTCACATTCTCGACTGCAATGCTGGGGAAACAGCAGGTCATATGCTGGGACTTTTTTTTCCCATTACATACCCCTTTTGTGTTTGAGCACTTTCAAGAAATTTTACATCTTTCTTTCTATGTAAGTGTGGCAAATGCTTCCATGTGTATAATTTGTCTAAGGTGCTTACTTCACAGGTTGATGCACGTATATATTTGTGGAGATGGGACTCAAAAGTTGTAATATCTGATGTTGATGGAACAATTACAAGGTAATTGATTCATTTTCTACTATCGATAGTTGGTGATATTATCCTCTGTACGAGCTTGCTTTTGTGTCCAAGACGTTCTATTTTGTTCTACTTTGATCACAATGAATGTAACAATAGTTAACTTCTAATTTATGCAAATGTTCGCCTTGGTGGTTATTAGGTAAGATATATCAACTTTGTTCTGTTACAAAAATCTGTCTTATCCTTTTTTTTTTGATAAGTAGGAACTGTCTTATCCAACATCAACTTTAGCAAGTAGTAACAATTTTGGCTGTAAATTGCTTTCTACATGTAGTTAACTTTGTGATTCACTTCCATGTCCAACTACCTAAGCATTGGATGTGAGATGTTCATAATTGCTGGACCTTAAGATGATGCACTTGGAGCTGTTGAAAAATTCCACAAGAATAGCGCTCACCCTCTGTAATAGATTGTCACAAGAATTAAGAATAAAGTTTTTATAAATTATTGTAGAGAAAAATGGGTCAAAAGTTATATATGGATTGAATGTTTTGGTACTAATGAGATTTTATATTTTGAAAGGGAACCTGGAAGATGGAATTTGGACACCAAATTTGAAAACCTCTTCCAACATTTCTTTCAAATGTCCTATAGAGTTTCCCTAGAATTGTTTCTGATCTGAAATACAAAATTGTAATATAACTAGAAATGAACTTCTGAATAGAGAATCAAAGCTGAAAATTAATGTAACTTCACCCATACACCCATACTTTACACCATCTGACCTTGAAACATTCTACTGGAAAATAGGGCTTATTTGGTGCAACCTGAAGTATAGTTATCAGAAGGAAGGAAATGAATCCAGTAGGGATGCAATTTGGCAGAGTTCAAAAAGCAATTGACAAGTTTGGTGTGCCCCCTGGCTCTTGGATCAAGTAGATTGAGCCGTAGAATTTTTGACTGAAGCCACACATCACGATTCTATGTTGTGTCTTTCCATCAAAACCTGGAACAGCAACAGATAAATAATGTCATTTCTAGCAAATTTGCCAAGTGTTCCTTTTTTAGGCAGAATTTAAGTTATAGCTTTTCTAGGTTGAGCCATTCTTTCACTAGAATTACCTATAACCTGAGATGATATATTGAAACAGGTGGAAGTTGGTTTACATTTTCCAACTTGTTTAAATTAGATATCTAAGGTTCAAACTTTTCTATGCTGGTCCTTTCTCCTCTTAAACTTCTGTTGGTTCCACTCTTTGGTTCCTTTGTGAACAAAAAAGGTAGACTTTTGTTTGAGCTGGTTGATATATGATAAACAATATAGATGTTCTTCCTGGTGCCTGTCTGATGTGTGATATTTTTGTCAATTAAACAGATCTGATGTTCTAGGACAGTTCATGCCTTTGGTTGGGATGGATTGGTCACAGATAGGCGTTGCACATCTCTTTTCGGCCATCAAGGTCCGTAGACTTCATTTGTTTTCTCTTTTTCCCTTTTTTTGAGATTTATTCAAACTTCTTGCTGCTTCTGCTAATTTTGTAGTTCTGGCAAGTAATCTGTCATTAGTCCCCAGTTTTTATCTTAAGAATGTTCCTTTATCTCTGTAAGCCAAGGGTCAAAATGTATCTACACTTCTTCTATGTTAATATATTACTCTTTGTCCTCATTTATGAGGCATACTTTCCAAAAAGAATGTCATACTTTTTTCTCCATACTTTCTTATTTAAAAACAATTTGACTCTTAACTTCTTTTTTTGCCCTAATAAGATGATTTATAGCCACACAAATGTCGATGACATGTTTTAGACCACAAGCTTCAAAGGTCTTTCTTTCTTAACTTTCATGCCCAGTCAAACACCACCACATAAATTTGGGATGGAGTTTTTATTTTTAACTCATTATAGCACAAGAGTGCATCATGATTAGACAATTCCTCTTTGCTGCAGGAGAATGGATATCATTTGCTTTTCCTAAGTGCACGTGCTATTTCACAGGCCTATCTCACTAGACAATTCCTCTTTAATCTTATGCAGGTAATTTGATAAAAAGAAAATTTGGCTTAAGTAATCACTTTTTCCTCTCCTTCATTAATTTGACTTAATTTTCTTTACTTTTGAATTTGATAATTGCAGAATGGCGTGGGATTACCAGAAGGACCAGTTCTTACATCACCTGATGGAATTTTCCCTTCTCTATTTCGAGAAGGTCACTAGTTATTCATTTCTTTATTTTCTGAAGAGTTTCCCCTTGATTTTTTCATTGTTCCAAACTAGGCATCCCATTGAATTGCTAATATTTTGTTTGACGTATTCTTATGAATGAATCATGATTATTGGAATTAAACAAGACCATCCATTATCGTCTGGGTAGCTAAAAACAAGACCATATTGTACTTTCTATCCTTGTATACTTTTCAGTTGGGGGTGCTGGTAGAGACCATTAAAGTAGAAGTAAGCTGTTGCCACCTTGCCGGTGCTTACCGTTTGCTCCCACCACTCTTTGATGAGCATTTGCACAGTTACGCCACTCTTGCTACCACATATTTCTAAAAAAATATTCAGTTAGTGCCAGAGTGCTCAGATTGCTGCTCCCACTCTGATATCTTCTTTGTTTTTTTTTTTTTTTTTTGTTGATGAAATATATATGTTCTTTGATTTAAGTGCATTTGAAGAAGGAACTTATTCTTGAAGATGTAACAACAATTTTATTGAAATTATCTACTCCAGCGAACATGGTAATTGGTAATGATCCCAGGAAGTTGATGCTATCAGTTGTTGGATATTTACCGACTTTTCTCATTCTCTCATGTTCTTATGTCGTTTTTTATTTATTTAGTTGTTTTAGTGATTTTAACTACCCTGTTGACAATTACCTCCACAATTCTGCAATATAAACGGAAAGATCGATGACATTGCCGGCAACATGCCTCAAACTGTATCAGTAGCAACATGCATTTAGAATGCAAAAGGCATTTTGGTCCAGTGGCTGCTGGTTTCATGCGAAAAGGCATTGTTGGTTTACTGGCTGCTGTTTCAATTTTTTTCTTTTACAGCATGAACTTAAAATGTGAAAGAAACTAGTTTTTATTCTGCATTGTAACTCCAATCTCCGTGCTTGCTGAATGTCTTAATCTGATTGAGTATTAGGATATTAGGACATGCTCTCAATTTTGCTAATATTATGACTGAGAGATGCATATTCTGTACCTTTTGCAGTGGTTAGAAGAGCTCCTCATGAATTCAAAATCGCTTGCTTAGAGGTCAGTTTCTTGATTCAGATTTGCTTCCTTTTTTCGTAATAGAACTTTTGGCATTTTAAGCAAAAGGAGTTTTGCACGTCTGCCAAAGCCACGAGGCTGGGGAGGCTTACAGACTATTGCTTTGATGATCTGCATTATGTTTAGTGCTTTTTTTTTTTTTACTGAAATAAAGACGACTCAATTATATCTTTAGTCAATCTTTATTTTTTGTTAGATTAAGGGAGTTATGACTTGTAAACATTATACAATCCGAGTAAGTGTAATAGATGGGTAGTTGGCTCTTTTGTGTTATGATGCACGAAGACTCACTGTTTAAACTGGTAATTTCCACATGCTCAATATGTACAAACCAGCTGCTCGAGCCTCGATGCACTAAGATTTGGTTACTATTTAAGAAATCTTACTGCTGTTTAAGGTGGATGACAAGTTGGGTTGTTTGGTGTCGCTTAAAATATTGATGGACCATCAGTTAGTAGTTTGTTAAATTATATATTAGATCAGTAAGTGACATAAGATTCTCAAATAAGTAGTAAAAATACAATTTAGTGCTGAAGTCGCTATTGGTCAAGTGGTGAAAATTGAGGAAATTAACTAGTATAGCCTAGCAACATACAAAGGGGGGAAAAGTTTTGACACTAGTAACTAAAGATAAGAAAATATATTTTCTTAGCTAAGACAAAAATGAAGTTGAAGAAAGGATCAAGTATCGAAACAGAATACAAGCAATTGCAGTGCTTATTGTTAAATAGTTTTGTCGGGTATAGGTTTTAAGTTAGTTTTGATATTCATATCGGTAAAATAGTTTGGACTGGCCCCCAAGGCCTAGCTCAAGTGGCAAAAGGTGGAGGATTTGTGACTTAGGTCGCAGGTTCAAGCCCCACACCATGCAAAACGAAGCCCGGTATTTAAGTGGAGAAGGGTAGAGGGGCGGGCCCATTATCCACCGAGTTTAGAAGGCTGTGATTGGTCCAAAGGGCGGGTCACAGACGGATTTCTCGGTTATCAAAAAAAAATATGGCTATGCAGAAACATCAAATGTTTTTGATGAAACAAATAAATCGCAAGATGGGTATAATGGCTAAAAAGAGCAAGTGAGAAACTTTGGGAAACATCTTTTACCATGTACACAACAAAGGTTTTTTTTTCCTTTATGTATTTTGTTTTATTTTTCTGTTTATCACGGGTTTTCTATGGGAATAACAAAGAATGCAAATTCTTGTGGGCAAGGAGTATCAAAATTACTGGCTGTGTGGAAGATATAATTACTAACGTTGAGCATATGTATCTAGCTATGGTGACAAATGCAGATCAATAACATGTTAAGTTTCAAGTTTGCAGGATATAAAAGCATTGTTCCCTTCTGATAGGAATCCCTTTCCCTTCTATGCTGGTTTTGGAAACAGACACACAGATGAGATCAGCTACCTCAAGGTTGGAATACCTAAAGGGAAAATCTTTACCATCAACCCAAAGGTACAGTCAACTGTTACTATCAACTGGAAAGGACCTTTTGCAGATAACTCTGTTAAAGAAAGTTTCTTATTTTTTATATTCTACAGGGTCAAATCGTTGTAAATCGACACATAGACACAAAATCATATACCTCTCTTCATAGTCTTGCCACTGCCATGTTTCCAGCCATTCTCTCATGTGAGCAGGTTGGATTTTTTCCCTTCTCTAACTATGAATTTTGGATCATTAGAACAGAGTGAAGAGAAGTATGTGATCTCGTGCTACAGTTTTTTTACCTTCTGCAGAGAATGTAGGATATAATTAGCTTTCTTGAACTGGAGTATAAGAGTCACTTCCAGCATCATGTTAACTTTAATAACTCACCATCTTGTCTAGTCATGAACATGTTTCCCTTATTTAGAGACTTAAACCCGATCTAGAATTACAGTAGGTTCACTACACTCAAGATCTTTCACCTTGTCTCCTGTGGAAGCTCAAAATTCTTGACTTGTTATCCTTTTGTTTCAAACCAATGTCTGTTGTGCTAGGCCCTGCAGCCAAGGAGCAGCCATTTGGTGTGCCCCTTCTTGCTGCAGTGTTCTTGTACAGTGATACTTTTTCTTTAAATGATTAGTATCATTTTCGAGATCAGGATTGAGATAGTAGTTGTTATATCCTCATTATCGGTATCTTTTTGTATAGCAGACACTTTGAAGAGTGTCTCCTCCTGGAACAGTCTCTCTACTGTGACAGGGTTGGATAAATTCTGTTCTAAATAATTAAACCAATTATAGGAAGAAAAAAAGGGTAAGACCTTGGGACTCTTTCCTTAGGCTGGAAATTTTCTATGGACAACATGTGAAGTCTAGAAGTTATTGAATTGGAAAGATAATAAGTTGCATCCTTTTACTGGTAATAGAGCCTAATAGTGCTGAAACTTGAAATGTTATTTTTGGGAAGTTAAACCGTGTGCAGAGCAAAGAAAATTGAAAAGTAGGAACTTTGAACCTTTGGTCCTTTTCACTTGGCTGGACATTTTTTATTATTGAACTTACAAAATCAAAATCGAATTAGGGATAGCCAGCACATCTCACTACTGAAAGTACCAACATTATCAGCTTAAGCTAAACCAGTTTTTTCTATGTAAATATTAAGAGTGTACGACAATGGTTGAGGGAATTGGTTGTCTCTTTGTATGGTTTTGGACAATTTTCATCATAGGATCTAGCTTTTGCGATTGAGTTAAGCCCTGTGTTAATTTTCTTAACATGATACCAGAGCAAGACCCGTCACTGTTGTAGTATTTCCCAGTGTTGGGTCCTGAAGTTATGTTATTGACGTACCGGAATGCAAGTGCAGGGTGTGTTGAGGTTTTAGGGTTTCCCATATTGGTTTAGGAAATGTGATACTGTCTCATCATATGGTTTTGGACTATCATATTATTTTGTTGTAATTAGTATTCCAAATGCTTTTACTTTCATTACTTCTTTTTGAACTGTTTTGGACGGTTTTTTCTTGAGCCGAGGGTCTATCGGAAACCACCTCTCTACTTGAAGGGGTAAGGCTTGCATACACTCTACCTTCCCCCGGCTCACTTTGTGGGACTACACTAGGTATGTTGTTGTTGGCATCTGCAAAGAATTTGTCAGTTGTCAATTCAGATTATACCATTCCCCATGTGCGAAAAGGATAGTTTTCTGGATTCTGAAACATCCTTAGACAATCGCATTTTCGAGTCGGGACGAGAAATTTTATGCTGTTTATTTTTTGTTTGTAAATGGATCATTGACTGCCGTTTAGTCAGGGTGTTGCTTGATCATATCCCATACTCTTTCGGGATATGAAGTAGGCGCAGGTCACCATGTCAAATGCTTCTTTCATGTACATCCAGTGCTGTCTGCAAGCTTCAATAATCTTACTCTTGCTCAACAATTTTCACTTTTCTTCAGGAGGATTTTAACGTGTGGAATTTCTGGAGAATTCCACCTCCTTATATTGATTGAAAATTAGCAGAGTCCATCCTGAACTATTTTTTTGAGATTCAGGGATGGTACCCCCACGGCCAGCGTAAGATTCAGGTAACTTTTATTTATAGTTTCAACTTATGATGCTGAAATTACAGGAATTTGTTACATTAGTGTAGATTCCGAACACAGTCTGTGGTCTAATGTGTATGCTTTTACATTTTTTTTTAAAACTTCTTGCAGCAAAAGGCTAACGTGTCTATACTTTAAATATGCGGCAAGTTTGACTGAACCGCAGACAAGGCTCATTGTATCTGTATATTGCATATGGAAACGACTAGTGTATATACTATTGTTTTATATCCGTCATCCTGAAGGAGGAAAATCGTGTACTCAGTTTTCTGGTATTCTACTCATCAATCATAATCTAGCCAATTCGCTAAGCCATACATGTATGTATACACATACTTATGGGTGGAAGATATGAAATACGTCCCACATCACCCCTCCTTCAAGACGAGTTGAACTTTGTAAATTATTGTAGTATTAGTATATGTTAATGAGGAAGTGTAGATTTTGTTGTAGTTTGGTGATTTATAGAATCTCTGTCTTATAATGGGACTTATTTGTTGAGGCAAACTGTATAAAGGTTGAATTGTGAATAACACATATCAGAATATTGGACCAGCATTTGAAGTAATTTTTTCTGTATAAAGGTTATGTTGCTCAGATTCTTCACAAATCTTGACGGATGAGTGTTGCCAGATCCTTAAAAGGTAGTGCATTTTTATAAGGAGCTGGACATGGGTGCAAGAATATTTTTTTTGGAGAGTCTGAGCAACGTAAACTTTGGTCCTTGAAATTGGTTAAATGTGCATCTTCAAATGCTCTAAAGAGAAAATTGGTGGATAATCCTCCACTAATTTATTGTGGCATGGTGAGATTCTGCCTAAAAATTCTAAGAATACAGTGCACCTGTTAATACTGTATACATTATGATTGCATAATCAAAGGTTCTGATTTTTGACAAGTTCCTATTTTGATTCTTAGAGTAGGAGTAATTCATCCGTGACATAATTTGATACAATACAGAGTTTAGTTTAAAGAAAGAAATAATTTTTTAAAAACTTAGTCTTAGATATATCATAGCTTTTACATGACTATACTTTTTCTTGAACCTTGTGATATCAAACATGTTATAATTTTGGTATGCTTATTGAAACTTCTTATTAAAGTTTACATTGTTCAGATTTCAGAATCCAGTACTTTTTTTCATTTGAAAAGCAATAGAAATCCAAATATGCCTGAGAATCCTGTACTTTCATCTGGACAAAGCAAAGAAGAATTATTTGTCCACGTAGCCCAGGACAACAACAAGTGTAGGTAAAGGATAAATTGGGTTCAAGCGGTGTGAATTGATCTCTAGTCCTCTAGGTAAATAACTCAACGTCTAACCAAGTACAAGGAAAAATCATGGATTTACGTGCTCTATATTTTAGCTGTAACTATGGAGAATTATATTTGAACCATATAAAAAATGTTGGAAGTATTTTCATATGAATAATATAACAAAGAGTAAACTCAATCCTTTTCGATAAAATTGATTCATTTCCCTTTAAACAATTATAATGGTTTTCGAAACCTAACATATTATATTGTTTTGTCTTAAGGTATGGAAAATGGTTCACAAAAACTCCAACCTGCCCTACCTTACTCCGCATAGTAAAAATATATATATTTTTTTTACAAGAAATTCACAATCCTAGCTTTTAAGTGGGCAGAAGGTAAACTTCATTCCAGTATAACAATCTGCAAACCAAAAAAGAAAAGTAAACGTATTAGATTTGACACGTCTCACGGGATAAGCTCAATCGAGAAAATATATAAGAATTTGAAACCTATGACCCCCATTTAAAAGATCATCTACTCACTCAACTTGATCAATATCCTTCATTAATTACTTACCCGTTTGATATATATATGTGTAAAATTACCTAAATACGAGTCTGACTTTGTTAATCACCTAATAAAAATATTAGGCACACTAGCGGTGTTGTTTTATTTGACTCTATCAAATCTCAAATAATAATTATAGCTGTGGATCATTACTATATTATATAAAATAAATACTATGCTCTTTCACCAAACTATTATTTAACGTTAAATATTCTTGGCGGTTTGGTTCTGAAACTATGATTCTCTTTTAGATTTTGGTTTTCTCGATTTCTGACCAAAAACTAGAAGAGAATATGTGAGCCTGAGAAAAAAATTTCAATTTCTTCTCCCATTTTATTGCTATCTTTTATGTTTGATTTGCTGGGGTTTCAGCAAATTTATGTATGTTCTTTAACTTTTTCTTCTTTTATCTGCCTATCTTTATCTGTGTTTGAATCTTGATCAATTTATGTTCTTTGATCATTTGTTGTTAGAATCCAAATACGTGAGCAAGAGAAAAAGATTTGGGAAATAAGTAAAGATTGGATTTTTATGGGAAATATCTAAAGATTTGGTTGAGGGGATCAATGAATTGTAGCATATGAGCTAAAAAATACAATCTTGGTGAATTGGGTTTGTTATTTGTGGGAAGCTTTGTTAGATTTTCTTGTATGTATTGACATTAGATGATTTAAATGGAGTCACGTGGTTAGTGAGGATTCATATAGCTGACTTCGAATTGTTTAGGACAGAGGCGTAGTTGTTGTTGTTGTTATAAGAGAATGAGTACTATGGGGAGGATAGGTAGTTACATAGGTAGAGGGGTACGTAGTGTTTCTGGGACGTTAAATCCGTTTGGTGGTGCTGTGGATATCATTGTGGTGAGGCAGCCAGATGGGAGTTTGAAATCAACTCCTTGGTATGTTCGATTTGGGAAGATTCAGGGGGTTTTGAAGGCTAGAGAAAATGCGGTTAATGTAAGCATCAATGGCGTTGAAGCTGGTTTTCGTATGAATTTAGATAATAGAGGGCAGGCATACTTCCTAAGGGAGCGGGACATGGAAAATGTTTATTCTTTAACAACTCGAACATCTGAACAACTTGCAACATTGAATCTGAAGGAGGGAAAGAATGTGGTTGCATTCACGTGCTCGAAACAGCAGGTCATTTGCTGACACTTCTTCTCATTACATCTCTTTTTGGTGTGTATGCAATTGCATGCTTATAATTTGTCTGAGGTTCGTATATTTCAGGTTGATGCACGTATATATTTGTGGAGATGGGACGCAAATATTGTAATCTCGGATGTTGATGGAACAATTACTAGGTAAAATCAATTCCTTTTCTAATATAGATTGTTGCCGTTAGTGTCCTCTCTATGTGCTGTTATGTCCAAGACTTGCTATTTTGTTCAACTTTGATCATAGTGAATGTAACAATTATCAATTTTTTATTAGTGCATTGGTGGTCTGTTATCTAATTGTATAGGTCAGAGGTATCAACTTTTCTCTGTTACATGAACTGATATCAACTTTACTGATTACATTTCTTCTTTTTTTGAAACTGGTAACTTTAGTCTATATATCCACAGGTATACTACAACAAGTGTAGTTCCCCTTCAAAAGTGTTAACAACTTACAGAATAAAATAGTCTTAGTCTAAACTGCTGCCTATAAACAATCTAGCACATCAAAGATGTCTTCTGTCCTAGTTAATATATCTTGTTTACACCAAAAATAGAAAAGAGCTAAGCAGTCCATCTTGATCTTCTGTAAGCTATTCTGCCAATTTTCAAAACTCTTGTTGTTTCTCTCTTTCCAGATTGTCCACCAAATACATGCTGGGACAAGTTTCCATCTCTTCTCCTTGTCAGAAGCATTGCCATCTCTATTCCAGCTGCTCAGGACTCCTTTAATGCTCCCTGGTTTCTCCCATCTTACCCCCTTTAGACAGATGAACATTCTCCATAATTGTTCCGTCCATGTGCAATGCAAGAAAAGATGGTTTATTGTCTCAGCATGTTCTTCACATAAAGTACATCTAGAAGCCAACTGATAGCCTCTTTTCTTTAGATTTTCATGAGTCAAAACCGCTTCTTTTGTCAATAACCACATGAAGCAGTTTACTTTGTAGGGTACTTTTGGTTTCTAGATGTCTCTTCCATGGCCATTCCGTCTCCTGTCCAGCATTCTTGTTGAGTTCCTTATAAATTGAATTTACTGAGAATTGACCTTTGGTGTCATTCTGCCAAACTAATAAGTCCTTCTTTTTGGTGAGGTCGCTGAAAGAGCCTACTGAATCTTGAAATTCTGCCACTTTGTCTATCTCCCAATCCGGAAGGTTCCTCCTTAAGAACAAATTCCATTCCATAGATTTCTAATTACCCTCCATACAGTGCATTTATATGGAGTACTTATCATTTTAGTCATCCACTTATCTTCCATGCCATATTTTGCTGTGATGACCTCTTTCCAGAGCATGTTATCTTCATTTGCAAACTTCCACAACCACTTCATCATTAGACTCTGGTTTTGTTTCCTCAGATTTCTTATGCCTAGGCCTCCTGTATTTTTACTCACAATCAGTTCCTTCCATTTAACAAGATGAAACTTCTTCTTATCTTCACTGCCTTGCCATAAGAAATTTCTTCTAAGAGCATCAATGCTATTAGATACATTGGCAGGCATAGGAAAGACTGACATCATATAAGAGGGTAATGCATCCATCACACTGTTAATTAAAGTCAATCTTCCTCCCAAGGACAAGTACTGACTCTTCCAGTTGGTGAGTCTCTTTTCACATTTCTCCAGGACCCCATTCCATATGCCTTTGGACTTGCTTTTAGCTCCCAAAGGCATACCTAGGTAAGTAGTTGGAAGCTCCCCAACCTTACCTCCTAGTGTTCTGGCCAGAACTTCTGTATTAAGCACACTATTGATAGGATAGATGAAGCTTTTCCCCCAGTTTATGTGGAGACCAGAGACAGCTTCAAAAATGACAAAAATAACCCTCAAAATCAGGATTTGTTTTGTCTCAGCTTCACAAAAAACCAATGTGTCATCTGCATATTGTAGATGAGTTATCTCCAAACTAGAGAGTTCTCCTGCTTGGAACCCCTTGATCCACCCCTTTCCCTTTGTTGTTTTAATAAGGTTACTCATTCCTTCCATAGCTAAGATGAATAAAAATGGGGAAAGAGGATCCCCCTGTCTCAAGCCTCGCTGGGAAGAGAAAAAGCTTTTGGCTCTAAACTGCTTTCTTCTCAGAGTTAGCTTTGTGATTCATTTCCATGCCTGAAATTCTTAGAATTGGATGAAAGGTGGTCTAAATTGATGAACCTTAACATGATGCACTTAGAAGTGTTCAAACACGAGTCCAGTATCCACTCTTCCCTTTTAGATTTTCTTAGTTTGTCTTGGGATATTAAGAGTAAAGTTGATACATAATTAATTGTAGAGAAAAGTGGGTTTACAAATAGACATGAAGTTGAGATTTTTATCTTTTCTACTTTCTAAAGAGAACTTTGAAGCTCAAACTTGGAGCTTTTTCTATGTTGACCACCGACTTTGTCCCTTATATGCTGCATAGAGTTGCACACAATGGTAATATAACTAGAAATGAATTAAAAAACTACGAGAATCAATGCTGAAAAAGCTCATGTCACTCACTGCACACCAAGCCGCCTACTCCAGTCATAAACTAATTATGAACTTAATCTGATAATGACCTATGGGCTATGGTTGTCTAAGACTTCAATCCAAGATCCATCCTTTACATGATTAGGAGATTCTTAACCCTTCTGAGGCACATTAGGATTACAAGCTTTGATATAATTGCTGAAATTTATCAATTCCTGGGTCCATCAAACTAGGTGTTGATTGTGATTCATGGAGAAAGCACATACTTTTGTTAAGATATATCTTGCTCGTCTTCTCTCCCTCTATGATCTATGCCGGAACTGAAACCTTCAAATAGTGCATTTCATATCATAGTAGTACTTCTGTTATTCTTGATTTTCCCCCCAAAAAATTGTCATTTGATGCTTTTCAAGAGTTGATCTTTTATCACAATATTCTTAATCATTTCAATATTTTGGAGGGGAAAAAGCTCCAACTTGTAGTATTGTTGTGAAGTATCAACTTTCTAGATCTTGAAGTGCTACATGTTATCTTATGTCCAATATTGCTTCGACTTTCGGTCAAAAGTGAGACTTATGAGGCATAAGAGTATCAGCTTAGGATTTATTATTTTTTATGCACCTATAGAAAGTGGGTCCTCTTTAACTTTTGCAATATTCTTTTTCTTTTGTTTTGATAATTTTAGCTATAATAGTAGTGTTCAAAAGTAATTAATGGTTGAAGAGAAGATTTTTTATCTAGGACAGGGGATGCTATTTTGGCAAAGAATATAAGACAATCTTTTTTACACCAAGGTGGGTAGTTACTATGAGAGGTGCAAACTGCCAACCATTTATACGTTGCAACCACATCCATAGTGTATACTATATGACCTTGAAACATTTTATAGGGAAATAGGGGTTATCTGACAGTGCAACTTGAAGTTAATAGTTATCAGAAGGTTGGAAATGAAGGATCTGGCCCTTCTTCATTGGTCTCCAGGCTCCAATCGGGATGAAATTTAGCCAAGTCAATGAAACATTTGATGTGTCTGGTTTGGCTCCTATGTTCTAACTTTTGCAGAGGCTAAATATAGCTGCAAGACTTCTTGATAGAATCCAACCCTATGACTCTATGTTGTGTGTTTCCATCAAAAATGGCATAGAAACAGATAACAACTGTCATTTCTAGTTACTTTTGCCCCCTTTCTCTTTGTTTCTTGTTATGCACTTGCTTAAACCGTACATGACGTGTTCCTTTTCCAGATTGATTGCAACTTTCTTACCTCTAGTCATTTCCCTGCTCTAAAATTTTCTATGCTGGTTTCCTTTGCTCCTCATTGAACTTATGTTGGTTCACCTCTTGGTTATTGGCTCCTTAGTGAACAAGAATGCTAGACTTCTGTTTGAGTTGTTTAATATATATAGATAATAAATGTAGATCATATTTTTCCTTTGTTTCTGCCTGATGTGTGATAGTTTTTCTCAATTAAACAGATCTGATGTTCTAGGACAGTTCATGCCTTTGGTGGGGAGGGATTGGTCACAGACAGGTGTTGCACATCTCTTATCAGCTATCAAGGTTTGTAGACTTGATTCATTTTCTCTTCTCCCTTTTTAGGAGGTTTATTCAGATTAACCGTGAGAATGTATGCTGCCAATTTCATAGTTATGGCAAGTAAATTGTTACTAGAGGTCTTTAGTACAAGAGTGGTCTTTATACTGTACTGGTTTAAAAAAAAAGAATGTTCATTATATTGGGAACACATATTTTGCGCTTTTGCAATGACTGCTAAGGTTCAAAATGTTTCTACACTTGCTCTATTTAAATATATCGTTTGGTTTTCCTCTGATAGTAGGATAAGAGTGTATGATCTTGTCTTCTTGCTGCAGGAGAACGGCTATCAATTGCTTTTCTTGAGTGCACGTTCTATTTCACAGGCCTATCTAACTAGACAATTCCTGTTTAATCTTATGCAGGTATTTTATCTTAAGTGTACATTTCCTTTTTCTCCTCATCCATTAGTTTGACTTCATCTTTTGTGTTTTTGATAATTGCAGGATGGAAAGGGATTACCGGAAGGACCAGTTGTCACATCTCCTGATGGGCTTTTTCTTTCTCTATATAGAGAAGGTTGTTCCTTTCTTTATTCTGTGAATAGTTTTCCCTTTAATTCTTCATTACTCTAAACTATATCCAATTGAGTTGGTAATATTCTGTTTTCCTGTATTTGTGTGAACCATGAAAAATAGAATAAAACACAATCATCTTACAACATCTGGGTAGAATAAAAAGCTAATATAAATCTGTTTTTCTTTTAGAAATTTATTTATAGTGGCATGTTGCACTTTCTTTCATTATATAATTTTTCAATTGGTGATGCAGGCATATCTTTGAAGGAGAAGTAAGTTTTTGCTGGTGCTAATTGTTTACTACCACTCATTTTTGTTAAACATATTTGCATTGTAACGCCAATCTCACTACCTCATATTTTAACATCTCCATAGTGCCAATTGTTCAGTTACTGCTCCGGTTTTTATTAGCTTGATCTTTCCTTTAAGTGCTTAGAACATGGAACTAAATCCTGAAGTGGTAACAACTATTTCATAGTTGAAATTATCTACTCTAGCAAAAATGGTAGTGATGCATGGAAGTTTCATAGCATCAATTGTTGGAAATTTTCCGACTGTTCCATCATTCTCATGTTCTTAAGTCCTTTCTTATTCTTGAGTCATTTTTGCACTTTGTAACTGTCCTGCCGTAGACAACCTATTTACCCTTGCATAGAAAAAGAAGGATTGTTGCTTCAAACTGTATTAACAGCACTAAGCATTTAGAATGCGTAAGACATTATAAGTTCAGTGGACTGCTAGTTTCATGCTTTTGGGAATGAGCTAAAAATGTGAAGGGTGCTATTTCCTTGTGCTTTTCAACTTCAACTTCCGTGCTTGCAGTTTCTGATTTAGTAGTAGGATATTTGAAGTAAATTCTCCCAGAAGAAATTCTTCGGATATTGCTAAGAGAATGATTGAAAGATGCATCTAACTCTTTTATCTTTTGCAGTGGTTAAAAGAGCTCCCCAGGAATTCAAAATTGCTTGCTTACAGGTCAATTCTTGATTCATTTTTTTTCCTTATAGTATTTTTAGCATATTAAGCAAAGAAGTTCTGCATGCCTGCCAAAGCCGCGAGGCTGGGGAGGCCTTGGACTATTGCTGCAACCTAGTGATGATCTGCTTCTGATAGAGTGCTTTTGTCATTTAAAGGAATAAACAACTTACATCAACTTACTCCTGTTTAAGGTGGATGAGAAGTTGGGTTGTTTGGTGTGTTCTACGCTTAAAATATGGCTGTGCAGAAACATCTCCAGATGTGATTAATATAATAAATAATCACAAGACAGATTGTATAATAAGATAAAACTTGAAATCATAACTTGGAGTGGGAAACGTCTCTCACGATAAACGCAACACCGCTTTCTCTTTTGGTGCTTCATCACCCCC